CAACCTCAACCGCCTCAAACGTGGGGAATGTAAAATTTTTTACTGAGATGAAATGAACAATACAGCATTGAGACAAATGGGCTCAAGATGGATTTGCCGGCTTCCAGCAGTTACACAACCACGTGTTTGTCAAGTTCTTCCTATACCTCAGGAAGTTTTAGACCGACTTAAAAAACAACAACAACCAGTTGAAAACAAAACAAACTAAAATTTTTACTGAGATGAAATGACCGAAGAAGTTGAAACGGTAGATTTGACACCACAAACAAAAAGTTCAGAACCATTGTCAAAACCTGTCAAAGAACTTACAGATGAAGAGAAAAATTCAATAATAGAAAGTGCCAGGTCTGGAAATACAAACCCTAACTACAAAGTCACTTTTCATAGAAATGGAACGGCAAGTATCTCAAAAAAAAACAGACTCTCACAAATAAAATATTGAAGTCTGAAGGAGCTTTCGAGACAACAGATGGAAAAGTTTACTTCACCGATCAACAGTTCATTATAGAACATCTCATTGACTTAGAGTCGAAATATTCTAAACTTTACAACAAACACAAAAAGTTGAAAGGAAAACAAAAACAAATGGCATATGATATTTATGAAGATGTTGACGACACAACTGTTCCTGCAGGTGAGGTAAAGTCAGATGAACCGAAAAGTGACGAAAAACCGATAGAAGAAGGGAAGCCAAAAACTGAAGATAAACCAAAACCAAAGTTTAGTTTCCAAACTAAACCAACTCAACCTTCATTAGCTGGTATGGGTTGGCGTCAAAGACTTCTGGTAGCGGGAGGTTATGTAAAGTAAAGAAAAAACGTTTTTAAAACAGTATTTTTTTATTTGAACTGTACGCTGAGTTTTGTTGGAGACGACCGTTGACAAAACATAGACAAGAAAGTCTCAACAAAACATAGACAAGAAAGTTCATGAGAAATTAGATGAAGAAGTCTCAACAAAACATAGACAAGAAAGTTCATGAGAAATTAGATGAGAAATATGAAATGGCATACCATTTTAAAACAATATATTTTAAAAAAAATATTTTTTTATTTTATTTGAAATGTACGCTGAGTTTGTTGGAACAGACCGTTGGAAAACTTGTTTGTTAGATGAGAAATATGAAATTCACTGTTGTGAGTCATTTGAAGTCAGAAACAAAAAGACAAAAAGAGTTTTAAGCGAATGGGAGCAAAATGACGGATATGCTAGGATGAGGATTGGTGGAAAACACTATTTTAAACATGTTGTCATTGCAACTCATTTTATACCGAATCCTAACAATCTACCCTTTGTAGACCATATAAACCATATAAGAAATGACAATAGACTTGAAAATTTACGCTGGGTCACTTGTTCTGAAAACAGTAAGAACATAGGCAAATTTCGAGATATTGTATTCGAATTTGTCGACGAACTAGAAGATGAAGCAATTGAAATTACAGACTATGGTAAGCATACGTTTGAGTTTTACTACTATAGCGAAGAACAAGACTCTTTCTACCTTTATACCGGCGTAAACTATAGAAAATTACAAGTATGTTTTACTAAGGCAGGCTATGCTTATGTAAACACTAGAGATACAGTTGGAAAACACGTTCATATATATCTTAACAAATTCAAGAAGCTATATGGCATACCATTTTAAAACCATATATTTTTACATATATTAAATGCTTCAGGTTGAAAAACAAAGAACAAATGTAGCAGATACAAAACCGTTAGACTATATCTTTACAAATGCTGGTAGGACAATATCAGATGAAGAAATTTCATCCCGTTCATACAGGTTTGACTATCCAATTCGTTGGCTTCAAAGTCCTTCAGATGCAAAGGCAATAGGATTTAGAAAAGTTTTGTTTTCAAAAAGAACTAACGCTTTTATGTTCGCAGTATATTTTCATGGGCAGTATGAAGGTTCTGATGGTCTAATAGACAAATTTGACGAAATGAGAATCTTTACAATTCGTTCAGACGAAAGTCTTGAGAAAACTCTAAATGACTTTCAAACTCAAATAAACAAATACTACTGGGAATTTCAAGAAAAATACGATTCTTTACTAAATGGAACATACTATCTGAAACTAGAATATGACAAGATGAACTCCACAGTTTCATTTCAAAGGATTGAAAATAACCCTCCAAGAGATACACAGTTTTTATTTTGGGAAGTAGACAAACGTTCTTGGGCACAATTTCTTCGGTTACTAAACCAGAACGAACCATTACCACCTGACGGTCCGTTTAAATTTATACGCCCACCAACAGATTTGACAGTTTATAGAAATGTGTTTGACCCTCAAAATGTCATGTGTCATGCAAGTTTCAGTTCAAGCAACAATAGTTTTCTATGTATTGGTAAGGACTTTTATGACTTTGCTTCTAAATTCTACGAACCACCTAGTAACAGTTTCTCTGACTTTCAAGTTTGGTTCACAACAAATGGTGTGCAACATATTATTCCATTGTACTATGACTTTTATCTCGAATTGTCTTTCATATATAACTACAGAAAAGTGCTGAAAAAGTATTGAAAAATAATGTTTAGGGTAGAAGGTTAGATCTAACCTGTTTTCTAACCACTTTTCTAACCTGTTTTCTACCCGTTGAATTTTCATGAATTTTGTGCTGAATTCGACAAAAATGAGTTTTTGGTTGAAAAAAGAGGTGGAGCCAAAAGTGGCTCGACCTCAAAACAAGCATTTTGTGAAGAATATACCAACCCGCGGAAAACAGCGGGTTGCTTTTTATACAAAGTTCACCCGTTGAATTTGTCATGAATTTCCTTAAGATAGAAAAAAATATATTTTAGGCGACCAGGTCACTCGGTCACTCGGTCACTCGGTCATTTTAACTTCTCTGAAAAAGTGTGACAACATGACATTTTGACAACAACACAGGAAATAGATTTCATCGTATATTTTTTGTTAAGACTTCATCGTAAATGTTTTGTCAAGACTTCTTCATCGTATATGTTTTGTCGAGATTTTTATCGTTGTGGTCCGACGGTTAAGCCACAAACGAATGTCCGACGGTTAAGCCAAAAATATTTTTTATTTTTATTGTAAGAACAGTATGACAGTCGAAGCAAAAACGTTCACGAACAAATCTAATGGCGAAACATTCACAAAAGGCACTTACAACGGTATTGAAGTCTTACGTAGAGACAAGGATGGTTATATTAACGCAACAAATATGTGTCAGCAGTTTAGGAAAGACTTTAGAAGGTTGTTGGAAAATAAGTCCTGGGAAGAGTATTTTAAGGCATTTTGTGAAGAATATACCAACCCGCGGAAAACAGCGGGTTGCTTTTTATACAAAGTTCATGCAGGAATTCCTGATGAAATCAAACAGGTTAGAGGAACGTATGTAGACCCAAGACTTGTAAACTATATAGCAATGTGGGCTTCTCCAAAATATTGTATAGCAGTTGGAAAAATTCTGGACTCCATAGACAAGAAAGTTCATGAGAAATTAGATGAAGAAGAACTTGAAGATACAGTAGAGAATGCAAAACCTTTGTTCGAAGAAGAAGTTAGAAAAATGCATGAAAAACAAATAGAACATGAACGTGAGATATGTTCTGGTTATAGAGACTCGCCATACGAACTAGACCAATGGGAACAAGAAGATTTAAAGAGAGAATTTAGAGAATATGAACTCGCTAAGATAGCATTTGAAGCTGCAGAAAAGAAGTTAAAAGTTTGGGGTCGTTTTGTACAAAAATATTGTGAGTAAATGAACCATTTTTTTCGACAAAAATATAATTTAGGGTAGAAGGTTAGATCTAACCTCTTTTCTAACCTCTTTTCTAACATCGTAGAAAACTCATGAGTTTTATACAGAATTCAGCAAAAATAATGTTTATGTTAGAATGTTAGATCTAACATGTTTTCTAACATGTTTTCTAACATGGTCTAAAACTCTTGAATTTGTCAAGACTTCTTCGTAAATGTTTTGTCAAGACTTCTTCGTAATGAGCGTAAAAGACCCAAAAATAATGTTTATGTTAGAATGTTAGATCTAACATGTTTTCTAACACGTTTTCTAACATCGTAGAAAACTCTCGAAATTCATGAATTTTGACACTTTCACAAAAAACATAAAAAATAAAGTTAGTTTTTTAAAAAAAATATTTTTTATTTTTATTGTAAGAACATGTTAGCAACAACAGCACCAAACTCGTTAGTCATGAATCCTACGTCAATGTTAGTAGAGATGAAAAGCTTCATTCCTTCTTCATATACTTTCGAAACAGAAATCCAGAAGATAAAGCAAGAACTTCTCCAAGGAGATTTAGATTGCACTGCAAAAGATGAAACAGATGAAGAATATCTTTATGAAATGCAGGATATTATTGACCATTTACCCAAATTGCCTGAAATCCAACAACAAAAGCTTACTATTCCAGAATTCGATGAAATAGAAGTCAAAGCAACTGACTCAGTAGAAATAAAGAAGTTCATACGAAAGGTTAACTATGAGTTTCTTGGATTTCATTGCAACCACAAAGTCATGGACAAAGATTGCGACATGGTATATAAGAACATCTCTGACATATATAAATCTGGGGAGTTTAAGACCTACGACAACTTTGTTTCGTTAGTTGCTGAATGTGTATGGCAGATAAGAGATAAAGATAGAAGAGGTAAGATATGGAATGAACAGATAAAACCCGCAACTTTTGAGTTAAAGAAAACCATTGACGCCTTAGTTGTTTTAGCAGGTAAGGTTTCAGAATATAACGCAAAAATGAACCCGCAATGTTCTAAATGTAAAGCAGCAATGAGGAAATATAACTACTCCGTCAAAGAGATAGAACGTATGAGAAACGACTATGCAGACTTAAAGAAAGAAGCAGAAAAGCCAGCAGAAGATAAAATGGACATGTTAGCATTTCTGAACAAAAACTATCCAACCGCAGAAGATTTCCTTCTATCTGATGTCAAGAAGAAATATAAAGAAACCTTCGGTATCGTTAAAACTTTTGACATACTAAAAGAAGAAATAGAAGCTACGAAATTGTTTAGAATTTCACGAATTCACAATGTTTACCATGTAAAACGCTTATAAAATAACTGGGGTAGAAATGAGGTTAGAAAACAGGTTAGATCTAACCTTCTACCCTAAAATATATTTTTATTGAATTCCGTATGAAATTTCATGAATTTTGTGTGTTTTAGACCATGTTAGAAAACATGTTAGAAAACATGTTAGATCTAACATTCTAACATAAACATTATTTTTATTGAATTCCGTATGAAATTTCATGAGTTTTGTATGTTTTAGACCATGTTAGAAAACATGTTAGAAAACATGTTAGATCTAACATTCTAACATAAACATTATTTTTATTGAATTCCGTATGAAATTTCATGAATTTCCTCATATGCTTGCTTCCCTCGGAAAAACCGAGAGAAGAGATTCAGCAACAAAAATCATGAATTTCCTTAAGATAGAAAAAATAAAGTTATTTTTATTTTTATTTATTTTTTTATTTTGTATGTAAGAACAGAAATGTTAAACATTGAGTTTGAAACAGTTAAAAAGATAGACAATAACACTAAATTGGTTAGAATTGGTGATTTAAACGTAAGATACTCAAAGAAATACAACAAATATTCTTTGTCAGACATTATATCTCCATCTGGAAAGAAAACATGGCATTGGGTTGGAATTGCTTCAACTCAGAAAATTTTGACAAGAAATCCTGAGCTTATGATATCGGTAAGATTCTATGGAACTACAGCATATCTTATAGACAAAAGTCTTATACCAATAGTTTTGTTATGGTTAGACCCAGTTGTTGGATATAACTTCATAACATATGGTTCGTTCGACTCAGAACGTTGCAGTGAAGGCTTACTTTACATCGTTCAGAAACCGAAGGACTTCAATACAAAGAGATATAAGATAGGAAGAACATATAATATAACTCAAAGATATGACAGTACAGTCAATAGAGTCAAGGTTGTGTTTGTTAATGATATGAGAGCTGCAGAAACAGAACTACTTGAAAAGTTTGAGAAAATGTATGGTGCTCCCACGAAAGGTAAGGAAACGTTTGAAGTAGATGAGATAGATAAAGCTATAAAATTATTTGACGAAGTTACTGAAAAATACATGTAAAGCGTTTATTTTTACGCTTGACTTCAGATGGCTCAGGTAGTTCCTAACTAGCTCATTTATCTCTATAAGGTAGATTGCCTCATCTGCTGGGTCTATGTCGGTCATTGTTTCAAGACAAGTCTTTTACTTTTTCAAGACAAGTCTTTTACTTTTTCAAGACAAGTCTTTTACTTTTTCAAGACAAGTCTTTTACTTTTTCAAGACAAGTCTTTTACTTTTTCAAGACAAGTCTTTGACTTTTTCAAGACAAGTCTTTTACTTTTTCAAGACAAGTCTTTTACTTTTTCAAGACAAGTCTTTGACTTTTTCAAGAAATTTTTTGGTGTCAAGTTCTCAAATTTGAGAACAGTGGTCTTGATTTCAGACGATACCCGTACTTTTTCAAGACAAGTCTTTTACTTTTTCAAGACAAGTCTTTTACTTTTTCAAGACAAGTCTTTTACTTTTTCAAGACAAGTCTTTTACTTTTTCAAGACAAGTCTTTTACTTTTTCAAGACAAGTCTTTGACTTTTTCAAGACAATGTCCGACGTCAGTCAGTAAATTTTATCGTCCAACCTTACAAATGTAAACTTATATCGTTCTATTTTCTTCACTAGGGTCTAACACCAAAGTAGCCTTACAAATGTAAACTTATATCGTTCTATTTTCTTCACTAGGGTCTAACACCAAAGTAACCTATGTACATGAAATTTCACTGCATAAAAGGAAAAAACCTGCGCGAATCGGGATTTGAACCGAGGTCTTCGACGCCTGTAGCGAGGTAGCCCATACCACTGAGCTATGAGCCGCTTGCATATTTTTAAGTAAAATATAGTATATTTGTCATATAGTGAAGGATGACCAAACTTAAAAAAAATAACGCTAATTTTTAAAAAAATATTTTTTTTATTTTGTATGTAAAGACAGATATGTCAACAACAGAGAACACAACAACAGTTATAGTCCATGAAGCTATAAATGAAGAATATGAGTGGGTTCAGTTTAACAAAACAACTCCGTCTCATTCGTTCGGTCAAAGACGATATGTACCAAATGCAAAGTATTTTGACAGCATGTTTTGCTCCAGATACTATGAAACCACAAGATTGGTTTGAATTAAATAGCACTCATGAACTCCTCAGTGAGTTTGAACATGTAGAACTTAAAAAGATGTACCAAGACAGACAAAACTTACCATCACATCTAAAAGGTATATATGTTCATAAGTTCCTAGTTAGTTCAATAGCAATGTGGGCTTCACCTCGTTATGCTTGGTATGTTTGTAAACTTCTTGACGAACTTTGTACAAAGCAGAGAGAAGATATGATGAAAGAAGATAAAAGCATACAGAAAAGAATACCACGTTCGGTACCAAAAGGAAAGGAAAAGAACTATAAGTATATGATTTATACTGAAGAGATGGAAAATGAAGAAGACAGAGATATGGTTATGTTGCATTTAGTCAGAAGAAACAACAAAAGCTTTTACGACCTTGCTAAGATTTACAAATCTGACAGAAATTGGTTCTATCGCGAAAACTTACCGATTTCAATGACACCAAATGAAGATGTGAAACAAATAGTTCAAGATACGTTACCTCAAACACACTATGATATGAAAGGTTGTACAATACTTACCTTCAAAGAAGACTTACCGCTACTGAAAGAAAAAATAACAGAGTATTTTGACAACTTCAAACAAGTAGGGTAGATGAACCATTTATTTTTCAAGCTTGACTTCAGATGGCTCAGGTAGCTCTAGATGGTAAATTGGCTTGTCAAATCCTTCTGGCATTCCGAGTCCTTCCATCCGACATTCCGAGTCCTTCCATCCGACAGGGAAAAAATTTCCCGACAACTGGAAAAAAATTTCCCGACAACTAGAAAAAATTTTCCTGTTGTCCGTCCGTAAACCATTCAAATTTTCGAAAATTGAGAACTTTTTGGTCGAACTTCAGGAAAAGTTTTTCCTTCCAACAGAAAAAAAATTTCTTGACAACTGGAAGAACTCTTCCTTCCGACAGGACACAAACGGATGACTGACGTTCCTCTTCCTGAATGCCTTCCAAAGCCAGAAGAACCGACAGCCCCAGCACCACAACAGACTAAGACTCAAACACTTACATTTTTACGCTTGACTTTTTACAATTTGAACTTTGTTTGCGTAGATATGAATTCTGAAAGAAGTATGAGGGTCTTGTATGACTTTGTACTTCTCCATAGTTCATGTCTGTCAAACTTACCTGCCATGGACTCTTTCATAAGTTCCATGAAATCGTCTTCGGACAATCCGGGGAAAAGTATAATGTCAGTAAGTATTCTTTTAACATCCTTACTTAAACTCTTTGCTGTCTGTACACATATACGACTGAGATGTTAAAGTGTCTGAGCTTCTTAAGAATTCGACACATGTCTTGTTCTCTGTTCTTTAACAAAGGATGAGAGGCGAAATCATCTAAGATAAGAAGACATCTATGAGGGTAAGTCTTCCAATCGTAAGATTGCAATTTCTTCGAAATGTATTCTATCTCTTTCTGTTTGTTTCTGAAGTGTTTCTTCTCTAATATTCTCTGCATTTCCTCATTTGGGTCTTTAAACTTAGAATTTATATACTCATTTATAGCATTATACTTCAAAACTCTTCTTTGGTACTTCTTTATCCAATCTAACAACTCAGTATCCTTTATACATACTAACTTAGACTTCTTTTATAATATCTTTGAACGAATTGACGGTTTGGTCAAATTGACCAGAAGTACTACAAATAACAACTAACTCATAGAATGGGTTCTTCTCATCTAGTTCTTGTTGTTGTGCAGCCATTTTAAGATAAGTGAAAGTCTTACCCGACCCAGGTGGTGCAATTAGACCTGTTATACCATTCTGAGCAAATAAGAACTTGTCATGTATAGGCTTTATCTGAGCATTTTCTAACTTCCTCTTGTTCTTATTTAAAACATTCTCAAATTTCTTGTCAATGTCAGCAAACTTTTTTTCTAACATATTTTTAGAAAAATTAAAATTTTTATCTTTTAGAAAATGTCTAGCGATTTCGCTATCTATATTCGAGACAAGCTTTTTGACAGCAAAACATCTGTCGACCATAAAATCTTACATAGTGTAAACAAGAAAGGTGAATTTGTTCTAAAGTTCTGTTTCTGGGAATATGACAAGAACCATAAAACATTAGGCAGAGAAGTCTTAAAATTTGTCAATGACAGACTTGTTGACAGAGATGACGCCTCTTGGAAAGATGAAGTCCAACAAAAGTTCTTAGAATGCAAAGAAGACACATGCGCTGTTCTTGAAGATGAAATAGAAAACAGAATAAATGAGCTATTAAAGGACAAAGAACTTTTACATAAATATGGTTGCGCCAAATTTGACATAACTCCACCAGAGAAGAAGAAGAAGAGAGAAAAGAAAGAAAAGAAAGTAGAAGAAAAGAAAGTAGAAGAAGAGAAGAAAGAACCTGAACCAGTTCCAGAGAAAAAGAAATTTGACATGTAAAAATAAAATTTTATTTTTAGAACATTTCTGGGTCAATGTCAATGTTCTCTTCCTCTTTAGGAGCAAACACTGGCTTAGACTCTAAAATCTTTTTACCCAATTTACCTTGAACTTCAACTATCTTAGACTCATAATATTCATAGTCGTCTGCTTTCTTTGGTTCATAAGGTATAACAAGTTTGTATGCTTTGCCTTCTTTCAGGTTTGAGAACCTTCTGTCAAAATTTTCTTTGACTGCTAACAAACCTTCTATGTCTAAGTCTTCAAATTTCGCACCATTTTTAGTCACAATAGCAAACTTAACTGGTTCGATGTTCCAAACTTTGCTGAATGAAGACTTTTCAAAATGGTAGAAGTAAACATTCAAATAAGCGAATGGGTCTAGTTCTTCTTTGACTTCTGTCATATACTTGTTGACTGAAATATATTTCGTCATCTTTTATATCGGATAAAAAAATATTTTTTTAAAAAAACGTTTTAAAATGGTATGCCATATAGCTTCTTGAATTTGTTAAGAAGTATTTTAACGTATTTTCCATCTGTATCTCTAGCGTTTACATAAGCATAGCCCGCCTTAGTAAAATATACTTGTAATTTCCTATAGTTAACGCCGGTATAAAAGTAGAAAGAGTCCTGTTCTTCGCTATAGTAGTAAAACTCAAACGTATGCTTGCCATAGTCTGTAATTTCAATTGCTTCATCTTCTAGTTCGTCGACAAATTCGAATACAATATCTCCAAATTTGCCTTTGTTCTTACTGTTTTCAGAACGAGTGACCCAACGCAAGTTTTCAAGTCTATTGTCGTTTCTTATATGGTTTATATGGTCTACAAAAGGTAAATTGTTAGGGTTCGGTATAAAATGAGTTGCAATGACAACATGTTTTAAATAGTTTTTCCCACCCATCTTCATCCTAGCATATCCGTTATTTTGCTCCCATTCGCTTAAAACTCTTTTTGTCTTTTTGTTTCTGACTTCAAATGACTCACAACAGTGAATTTCATATTTCTCATCTAACAAACAAGTTTCCCAACGGTCTTCTCCAACAAACTCAGCGTACATTTCAAATAAAATAAAAAAATATTTTTTTTAAAATTTACTCAGAAAAATTTTTCTTTGTATATACGCCGTTCTGAACATCTAAAAGATTTTTGACATTTGCCAAGAATGTACGTTTAGACGCTGCCATATAACCATACTCTTGACAATACTGTTTATATTCATCGTACAATGACCTTTCATCTAAACACTCAAAGTTAGTCTCATCTATAAACAGTTCATATACACTCTTGTTTGCTTCTAACAATGTTTGTCTTTCTTCGGTATGTGGAATTTGTCTTGGATTGAACTTAGAAATATCTAATGTCATGAAATATGAGAACAAGTGGTTGTAAAAGTTAGGTGTCAAAGTTTCTGCTAAGTCGTCAAAATATTCTGTATCTTGCATATGAGAATCTGACGTTCTGACAACTACATATCTTCTGTCAGAACTTTCTAACTTCATCGGAACAACATTGTTTGAAACCATAATGAAGTTTGCAACATTTTCACAAACTCTTTGGTCTTTATACTTTCTTTCAACAACTCCAACTTTGTCTGTTATAAGACTCTTCAAAGCATCTGAGTTCAAAACTTTTGTTGTATCTATACTTTGAAGTTCATTGCAAACTATAAGTTTCATATTCTCTATTGAGGAGTTAAACTTGCCACAGATGTTTTCTAAGTTTGTCATATTCGGATTCGAATAACCTTCTAACAGTTTGCATAAGATATCTGTAAAGAAAGTATTCTTACCAGTTCCTTGTTTTCCAATTATAATGAGAGCAGTTTCATTTTTAGCACTTGGATGTTGTAAGATATTTGCAAACCAACATAAGATATACTCATAAACCTTTTCGTTTCCATTGCATATAATTTCTTTGACATGGTCTAACCAAGCTTCTATAATATTTTCTTTCCATTCTACTTGTTCGTATTTATATCCAGTGAAGATAGAATAGAAGTTTGGAGAAGGTGTATAAAACTTATACCACGAACTGAAAAATCTTTCTAACTTTGACAATAAGATATCCCAAGCATCTAACATCTTCATGCCAACTTGTACGACTTTTATTTTCTTAAGTTTCTGTCTACATTCTTGTTCTGAAACTATTGTTGCTCTTGGTTTGTTAAAGACAACATCCCATTCTTTCATAACATAACATTCTGGGGCAGAGTCGACATAAATGACTAAACGTTTCAAATTCTCGACTGCTTTGTTATAGTCTCGAAATGGACACATATTTCTGAATGCTTGGAAGTCATAAAAATCTGAAACATCTATTCTGTACATTTTTATAAAAATAAAAAAAAATATTATTTTTTTATTCTTGACTTTGTTGTTCCATTTGTTGCATTTGTTGTTCTTGAGCTATTTGTTGTGAAGTTGTTCTTGTAATACAATACTTTCACCAGTTGCATCTTCCAATTCGAAACTTTCTGCCGTCATTGACAAATACATAGGACATAAAAGTTTTACAGGAACAAAGTTTGCGTCAACTAATGTCAATGTTATACTTGCCAAAGTGTTTGAGTTCACTAAGGTTGAAAATTCTGCATTCGAATGAACAATAGGCAAACCAGCAGAGAAAGTATTGTTATACGCATAAGTATCTTTTGGTCATAATAGTTTCTGTCGACATTCGAATAACACTTTGAACCTAAGTTTGAAACAATATATAAGATTGGTGTGCTTAATGTCAATGGAATAGACATTCCTGTATGACACCTTTTCCTGTTATAGGAAACTGTTTGTATAAAAACAGATATAAGTTTTTGTATTATAGCTCATATCGTTTATACTAAACTCAGTCGGACATCCAAACATAATGAAACCTGCTCTAGTTGCAGCACATGTTACATCCGTCCTTAAAGTATTAAATAAGTCAACAAAACCTGTTGGTGGTATATCTGAGTAAGTATCTTCAAAGGAGTATTTTTTACCATTCACAACAATAAAATCTTCTGGTGTCAAAAAGAGCAAAACAGGCTTAGTCGTCATCGTGTTTAAAGTTAGTTTACAATATCGTCCTTGAGGACTTTGTAAGTTTGTTGTTATAGAATTATATGACTCAGGGTTTTTAGTCGTAATAGTATAAACCACTATGTCTTCTGCCATTTACTTAGCAACTAAATTTTAATGAATGTTGTGGTCGTCAAATATTTTTATGACGTCTGGGAAACTATATTTTAAGTTCAACGTTTCACCTCCTTCATAACGTATATCTTGTCAATGAATTATATGAAACACCACAGCAAGCAATGTCGCGGTTCTATTTCTTTGATGTTTATATCGTCTGCCTCTGTCAAAAGTTTCAATAGTTCTTTCAAGACTTCATGAGTGCAATGACATATGAGTTCACTTTTACAGGGTTGTGCTCAACCAAGTTTAACATTATACCTAAAGCTTGACAAATCTTCTCCTGAGTTTTAAGTTTGTCTTTAAGTTGTTGGTAGTCATTTCGAATATCTGCAACAGAACTTAAGTCTCTGCTAACTTCAGGGTATGTGGTTGTTCTTTACAGGAACTATTGTTATACCATTTTCGTCTTCGTATGGTTTCCCCACTTCAACATCTCTGTCTTTGACATTGACAACAACACTTTGACTGTTTGTTTGAGTTGGTGAATTTAACTTCACATCTGCCACCGCCATTAAACCTTTTGAAACACTTACGCTTCTATTTTTCGGAAATGACATTTTACTTAGAATAAAAAGATGGACGTATTTGAGTATCTCTTCGAATTGAAGCAAAACAAAGTTTACACACAAACAATACAAGTTCATTGATAGAATAGTCTTTATACAAACAATGGTAAATGTTATAGAATAGCAATATTTGCTGAACCAAAAATATTTTCATAAAGCAAAGAAAGTTGGTATAACCGAAATGGTGAAAGTTCTTGAAGCAGACAAAAATATAACAACAAAACTGACCGATATTTCTAAAGGAAAGTTTATAATACAATTTTATGTCAAAACTGCGTACTGTCAATATTTGACGAGAGAAGTCAGTTCAAGAACAACTTACTGACCTGCTGCCAAAATCTGCTCGATGGAAGCTGTCGTTATGCCAATCTGAGGAGCCCCAGCAGGTTTCATCGAACGAATCTTCAAAAGAGCATCTTCCGTGAAAAGTGCTATTGGTTTTGTAAACTTCTTTGCTTTCATTCATCTGACCGTCTCTGTCACCAGTATATTGTATTTGAACTGTACCAACAGTTGAAATACCACCCATAAAGTCTTCTGAGTCAGCAAATGGAATGCCAAGCCAAAAGTTTGAACGGTCTCCATTTGTATATTGAGTTTGAGCTCCTGTATGGGTCCATACTTTCACATATGGCATAATAGAACTTTGCATTTCAGGGTTAATGGTTGTTGTGAAGTTGTTGTTAAAGTTCATAGCATCTAATGTCAAGTTGTATGACCTCATATCCTCAACTGTAGAATATTCTTTCTCTTGGATAGTAATTTGCCATCTATGTTTATATGTATTTAATACCAGGGTTGTAGAAGCAAGAATAGTCATTTATAGTTCGTCTGAACAGTACAAACATAGTATCTGCATGTTTCATTGCAGTTGTTAAGGCAATATCTGTTCTTGCACCTGGGTCAGCACTTTGGTTTCCAACTTCACCTGCAAAGTCTTTGACAGATATTTGGTGTATAGGGAACATAAGTGGAACTGCAATATATTTGGCAGCTAAAGCATTGAAATATCTGGGTCCAACATATAGACTGCAAGTCTGCTTTCTATTCTCTTGCATTCAAATTTTTCGCATGTGAACTTAACTGGGTCCCAAGCATCTCCAGCAGCATTGAAATAATAGTTTACTTCAGTGTTGAGGTTTGAGAAACCAAAGTCTAAGTCAACTTTGTCTTTGCAAAAGTCGGCGAATGACATTTTATTTGTTCCCACTATCTGTAAGAGTGAATGGGTCTTGTGTGGTGCAATGACTAAGTTATTTTTGCTTGGAGTAAGTTCGATAGAAATTTTTCCTGCCCAGTTTGGCAAGTATCTTAAAAACCTGAAGATGAGGAAAGATGACAAAGGAACTCTAAGTTTCAATTTTACTTTGGTTACTGCTGCTGCAGTTTGTCCAGAAAGGTTAACATAAACTCCTGGAACGTTAGGGTCAAGTCTTCTTATTTTCTCAATAGTTGCATACTGGTCTGTTTGTTCTCTAGCTTGGTGTTGTACTGAGTTTCTCAAAGCGAACCATTCATAGTTTGCCCATGTTACTGTTTGAACTAAGTCAGAGTTAGAATATATCTTATATCCCATGAAAACTTCTGGAGCATATTGGTATCCGACATAGAAAATTCCATTGCAACCTTTCTTGTCAGACAACTTGGCAGAAGGTTTTATTCAATGTCTTGTTCCACGTATAAGAATGAGTTGTCAATAGAAATAATATGAAACCTGTCGCAAGCAATATCTACTGTTGTTGAAGAACCTTCTCCAAACTCACCTACGTTTCCATAAGAAACAGCAGTTGTATATTCGTAAGTTCCAGGAACTATTTCTGACCTTCTAATGGCATTGTCGCATTCGTTATACCATTCGGAAACATTTCCATTCATAGCATCCAAAAACTGTTGCGTTATATTCTGAGCGGCGTACATTTCATATGAGTAAAAATATAGAATAGTTGGATTTATATGTCATAATAGAACCCACGTGGACCAAGCTTTACTTTCTTCCTGACTGAGTTTTTAACTCTTCTTTTCCTTCATTGCCCTCTGCTTGAAGTTGTTGCATCTTTGCATTATGTTCATCTAGTATGTTGTAAATTTCCCATGTCCTTTTTGCCTTTGGGCTCTGGTCGCCCATCTCAGGTACCCTATATCCTAGAAAGAGTTTGTCATAGTCTGTATTTGAGTCTTCGCGTATTGTTTGCATGACTCTTTCCTGAGTTTCCGGTTCAAGCTCTTCAAACAGTGCCTGTCCATATGGAATATGCTCGTTTCCAAATATATGTTTTTGTAGCCATTCTGGTTTTCTTTCCATGTTACCAACTATATCTTTTGTGAATGGGAAAGCTTTTACCCAATCTTTCAGTCTTGCGTCGTTTATTTCTGTAGTTGGTTTTATTTTGTCAAGGAACATGTTTTTCAATACTAACATTTCATTTGGTACTGTCCATTTGAGTTTTCTTAAATATTCATCCCTTCTCATTTCATTGTCTGCAAAGTAAGTTTTTATGACATTTTGTAAACTTTCGTTTGCAAGGTCATGTACAATAGGTTCTCTTCCTTCGCCCTCCCTAACTTTCTTTCTAAACTCTTCACCAAATATACCATCTCTATGGTTCTGTGTAGTTCTTTGAGATAAATGTTTTAGAACGTCAGGTGTTATATTTCCATCAGCCATGTTCATTTCATACTGGTCCAAAATATCTGCATGTTTCATATCTTTCAATGGCATTAAAGCCGCGCTGAAAATACCAGCTATATCTGGTTCACCATTGACTTCCATTGCGTCTACAACTTCTTGGAATTGTGGTTGTAAGTTTATGAACCACCTATCCGGATTAGCTTTATGACCCCATCTCATTGTAGTTCCATCGTCTGCAGAAACAAAAGTAGGTTTGTTTCCATCTTGGTTAGGTTCTGAATGAACTTTAAACAATGTTTCATTTCTATATGTTTTCTTGAAATTTAACCTTTTATTTTCACCGAGTTCATCCGAAGATTGAACGTTAAATGCTCGTAAGTAAAAAGGGTTGTTGTATTTGTGTACATTTTTTTTCAGTTCTTCCATTCTATGCTGGATATTTTCATCTGATGTTGGAGTCTTTTGTATGTCGGCAAACATTTTTCGATATTCTTCTACTATGTCAGCCGAATTTTTTTTAGACTCTTGGAAATATTCCATATTCTCCGCATACTCTTGTTGAGGGTCAAGATTTTTCGGCTGTTCCAAATCTTCATCTAGTTCTGTGAAGTTAGTTTCCAAAGGAGTGACTTGTTCGTTTCCTTCAGGCTCTTCTAGCTGTTGTTGCTGAACTATTTCTTCCATGTCTGGTTGTATCTGAACTTCTTCCTGTGGAGTTTCTTGTACCTCATCTGCTGGCATTTCATATATTCCGAGACCGTTTTCAACAATTTCCCTATCTACGTCATCCGCATTCATAAGCTTTTGTTCTTTCGTTCCGTCTCTATTTTTTACGCGTTTCATGACGAAAGTTGAATTGTCATTTAGCTCTGACATCAAATATCTCGGAGTAAATTCATCCATGTCATTTGGATGATATGCTATTAAATCATATCCCTTAGCGAGCTTGTATTTTCCAGGTTTGAGATTATATCCGTTTTGGTGCTGAGCCATAAAGCTAAATAGGTTCGGGTCAGTATTTCCATCCTTGAACTTTCCAATAGCTTCTTTATATCTGTCACTAAAGTCAACAGTATCTGGGAAACCACACTCTTCTTTAAGCATTTTTAAGAATTCTTGGTTTCCTTGTTCTCTACTTCTTTTATGTCCTTGCTCTGTTTGTGGTTGTTGTTGTGCAGGGTTTTGAACTGTTGGTTGCTGTGCTGGTTGTTGTGCTGGTTGTGGAGGTGGTTGTTGTGCTGGTTGTTGTGTTGGTTTTGGTGCATGCCTGTGTCTGTGTCCATGTGACGATGTAAATGTTTTAGGTAGTCCTGGTGCAGGTGCTTCTCTTGGAGGGTTTGGTGGTATATAAGTTCCACCAGCTGGCACATATGTTCCATCTGCAGCGTAATGTCCTACCTGACTTTTCGTTCTTAAGAAAGCATTTACTAGGTCTGTTTTGGTCTGTTGTAACTCTTTTTCTTGACTTTTCACAACAGTTGCTCTAACGGCGTCATAGGCACTTTGAACTGCCTGTCTCGTTGCTGCATCTGTTATTTTCGTCATATTTTGTGCTACTTCTTTTAACTCTTTGTCGAAACCTTCAGACTTCAGTTTCTTTCCAGATGAGAAGTCGTTCACTTGTTTCACCTTACTATGAAGAGCTTCGAAGGCGTTCTTAAAGTCAGCATTTGTTAAAGCTTCATTTGAACTGTCTTCATCCGCTTGTATTTTTGTCCTTATTGACCCTATGAGTTGGGCTGCTTTAGCGTTGGCTTGGGCATCTAACCAGTCATTGTTAGCTTTTATATATTCTGCGCTTTTCATTGCCTTTTGCATGGCTGCGTCGTTATTTTTACTTTCTTGTGCTAAGTTTTCATACTGTACGGTTTGGTTTTGCAACTGTAAAAGTTTTTCTGCCTTTACATTTGCTTCAACTTCTTTTTTATACTCATCGCTATCCATATATGTCTTCAGGGCTTTTTGTTTTATCTCTTCATCTTTCAGTACTTTATATTGAGTAGTATGGTTTTTCAAATTTATAACATCTTGTTCCATTTTTGCTACTTCTGCTGCTTTTTCTGACACTTTTTTCGCATATTCCTCTGTACTTAGTTCTTTCAGTTGTTCTTCTTTCTTCTTTTTCTCTACGTTTAACTCATTGAGTTTCTTTGTGTGTCTGTCATATTCTAGTTTCTTTTCGTTTTCACTTATTTGTTTCTGTATGTCTATGTTTGACTTTTTGACATCTGTTATTTGATTTTTGAGTGAACTCAAATTCATTTGACTTTGAGGGTTATAAGCTGTTCCGTCTGCAGCTCCACCATAGCCTGCCATTTTCGCTAAAAGTGCCGCTCTTAAACCTCCACTCTGTGCACCAACAACTCGGTTTAAAAGCATAGGATTGCTTGACATTTGTTGCAACATAGTGGGGTCATTCAGCATTTGTTGTTGCAACTGTTGTTGTGGTGTCAGTTTTACTATTGGATGTTTCAATGCTCTCTTCCTCTTACGTATATTCTTACGTAGCTTACGTGGCATTTTAAGTGAAGTTAAAAACATTTACGATGAAGAAGTCTTGACAAAACATTTACGATGAAATCATGAGTTTTCTACGATGTTAGAAAACATGTTAGAAAACGTGTTAGATCTAACATTCTAACATAAACATTATTTTTGGGTCATTTACGCTCATTACGAAGAAGTCTTGACAAAACATATACAATGAAATCATGACAAAACATTTACGAAGAAGTCTTGACAAAACATGAAAACATATATAATTTGTGAAAAGCTCCTGGAAGACCTCCGAATAAAAACTTCATTTATGTGGGCTAGAAGGCACGAAGTGCCTGGAAGGACACCCCAAGAAAAAAAAAACTTCATTATACCAATCATCCTCAGGGCTAGAAGGCACGAAGTGCCTGGAAGCCCCACTCCCTTTTTTTTTTTTTTTTTTTTTTTTTTCTATATATAGATTCTTTTATAAAAGATAAAAAAATAAATTATTTTAAAATTAATGTTAATTTTTTTAATTAAAGTTAATTTTTTAATGATTTATAAATATATTTTAAAATGTGTTTAGTATATAATATTTATTACTAATTTATTTAATAATGTCACGCTTTCTTACGAATTCATGACTTAAAAAACGTAAGAAAAAATTTTTATATCATCTATATATATATAGAAGATGTAAAAATATACCTTCATCTATATATAGACGTAACAAAAAAAGTCACAAAACCCTTCATATGTACTACTTCTTATATAAATTTTAAAAATCTCTTTATTTTCTTAAGTTCTACTTACAATTTGTAATCTTTTATTTCATAGATATATACTTTTAATAAAATAACAAAACTCAGTTTCATCATAACAGACTTGTTATAACAAGATATTATTTCGATTATTGTTTTGTATACAAGTGAATGTTGTACACAAAGACAAACATTGTCTATCAATGGCTGTCTTTGATGCAACTTTGAGAAGAATCACAAACGATTCTTCTCAAAGTTACTCAGTGAACAACAAACACTTGTTATTGTTTTGTATACAAGTGAATGTTGTACACAAAGACAAACATTGTCTATCAATGGCTGTCTTTGATGCAACTTTGAGAAGAATCACAAACGATTCTTCTCAAAGTTACTCAGTGAACAACAAACACTTGTTATTGTTTTGTATACAAGTGAATGTTGTACACAAAGACAAACATTGTCTATCAATGGCTATCTTTGATGCAACTTTGAGAAGAATCACAAACGATTCTTCTCAAAGTTACTCAGTGAACAACAAACACTTGTTATTGTTAATGTCTCTAAAGTTTAAACATTTTCATCCCCATCAACCTTCATTCTGTAATCTCATTCTTACTATATCTTAATGTAATCATAATTTTATTATTAACTTAAAATATATGCGAATATTAATAATTAGCCTCAAAGCTTTCATACCATTACATTATTTTTTTTTAATCGAAATTCTATTTCATTAATTCTGAATTTTAAATCATATCACCATTAATAACTCATCTACCTATATTCCATCATAATGTTATTTTATTCATTTTTTATATATCTGATTTTCATATTTTTCAAATTCTGTTCCAAAATCTTTAAAATTGTTATATTTCTCTACAACACCGTTACTATAGTATTCTCCTTAACTTGTTTAAATGCAATTTTGCAATATTTGGAAATGATTAAAATGTCCTAATGTAAACGTTTGCTCTTAGAATTCAGTGTCAAAGTCGATTGTTTCTAACAAATTAATCTTTTTTCTATTGATTTTCGAAGTATTACATTTTCATTACGGCCAAATCTGCTCTCTTTCATTAGATTGATAGCTCACAATAGTTCTTGTAATCAGAGAGGAAATATCTTACGAAATATACCTCTAAATTTTCACTTTATAGATAAATGTTATATTTTTCCGTTACTCGATTATTGTCCAATAAAACCACATATATTAAATTTCGTCCAAAATAACCAATAAAGAATAGTTTTTTAGTTTCTTAAACGATTTATGAAGGTTCATATTTAATCGATTTTTTTATTTTCAATTCATGTATCTATAGTTAGTTAGTCAATCATCCCTTCATAAATTATCTGCAAAGAATTTTGTTAAATCTCAACTCTGTGAGGAACTACAATAAATTGAAAAGTCATTTTGTGATATCAAAATCCAATATATTATTCTTTCTAATACATATCAATAATATCTTGAGATGTAGTACACTATATATATACTTTCAAAAATCTTATATGTTTATTAGTTATTGAGATAGAAGCGATTTAATTCTTTGAAAATCGACGAAAAGTGCCATATTCATAAAATTATAGGGTATATTGTTCATATGTCACACTTGAGTTACTATAATGTGGTAAAAAATGTCAACCTTCCCCATTTAAAAATATGACATAAGGTCCTTTTTTCATTTAAGGTACCCTATTCAAAAAATGAAAGGGGGTCCCTCACAAAATTGAAGGGGTACCATTCAAATTGCCTCAAAAATATTGAAAAGATTTTAGGTATGCTGCTAATATAGTTAGTAGCATCATACAGAATGCATAGACAAATTTTTTACTAATTATTTTTTCTTAGCAATTCAAATTCGAGATCGCTTAACTATGCTTAGAATCATAAGCATAATAATTTTGCAAAAGGTATGGGAATAATTTGAAAATTAATTTCAAAATTATTAATACTAGTGCAAGCTAGTGTAAGCATGTAAATGCATATTTGTGCACTGATTCGATACTCTTTTTTGGAAATTGTACTTTATCTTAAATTTCGAATGCAAATTTTTTGAATATGTGTATTGAAACTGTAACCTTTTGTCTAAGTTGCATTCTAATATAGCTCGAATTCTAAAAATGGGACTTTACTCCTCTTTCTTTGAGAAAATTTTAGACAATAGCCAAATTGCTAATTTTGTTGGAGTAATACCTGCATTGGGAGGTATAATATATTGTTCAGGGTTGAAACAAGGAGGTAGTTAGTGATAAAGCATAGTTACCACATGAAATGCAGTAAAATTTTGAGTCTAAACGTCTTTTAAACCATCAAGTATAAATTATAGAAAAAGATACTTTATATATAGTTAAAATAAAAATGATTAGAAAATAGCGTTTTTGATCAAAATTTCAAATTTTTATTTCCGAATATCTCTATTTGTGTCTAATTAGAGACATTTCTATAATTTTAGTGCGCAGCATATGCAATTCCTCTTTGGTTATTGCATTAATTTCTCAAAAAGAAAAAAGTCTTCAATAATTTTTTCAACAATACAGTACTAAAGCTAAGAACTTCTAAACACATGAAAAGTTATATCATTCTCGTTAATATGTAGATTATCAATGAAAAGAATATTGTGAAATTTGAATATTTTTTAAAATAGAATGTAGAAATACTTATCAATGCTTAAAATAGAGATATGTGAGAGCTAGATCCGTATTTATTTACGTTTTCGTGCATATTTTGAATATCAAATTAAATTAATTTTGAAGATTTTAGCATCTAAAAGTATTTAATGCCCCTATACAAGCAAGGTAATTCTTACATGTCTTAGTAAGTCCAAACTTAATGTTTTATGATATGGGCCTGACCTCTCCATATGGTGACGATAGAAATTGAATAGGGTACCTAAATAAAAAAAAGGAGTTTAAATAGAAAATAAAAGTTTATGCATAAAGATTTATGATTAAAGAATTAAATTGCATGTGAAAGTTTTGAAGAATGCCATATAAAGTGAGAAAAAGATAAATAATAAAAATAAAATGGCAAGCCATACAAAAGGTAGATGAGATAAGCTCACCTTAGTGAATATGACTGAAGATATTGATGTAGAAAGCCAATACAAGCACCAATAAAATCCAAATGTTTTTGGTCGAATTTTGGACAATTTTTCGTAATAAGGAAGCCATGGGAGTTGCAACAGTCCAACACCATTAGAAAATGACATAATCATAAGGCCATAGTAGTCTTTGTGTGTAATGATCAGAATTGCGCCAACAAAAGTGAGAATTATTAAGGAATAGAGAGAAGAATAGATGCTAATGCAAACGTATTCTCGTTTTTCTTGTGAAGAATGATCAAAAATATGCAAAAAACGAAACTGCCAACTACAAATGGTAGAATGAATTTGACATTCTCTAAAGGATCGCTGTAGATTCTAGAAATAACTGTCCATAATGTGAAAGGACCAAGGAATGGCTGAAGGATATGCAAAACAATGACAAGAAACTCTAAATGGAACTTAAAGTCTGATCCAAAATCGACTTTCAAGTTGACAAAGTTGAAAGAGCTCTTGTTTATGAACCAGATCAAGATAGTTTGAAGACCTGGGAAGATAACAACATATAGAGGCCATTTCTGTTTGATTGGGACACAAAACAAAACGCCAAAAGCAAAAGACACTAAGAAAAATGACAATAAATACAAAGGTTGTTTTGTTTTTCCAAGCTGGAACAGAGAAGCTGGATAAATGATAGACAAAAACCCTACAATAAACCCCTGTAATGCTCTGAGAACTAAACAAACTACTAACTTCGCCCAATAGAAATAATATAAAATTGATAATGTAATAAATGTTAAGTTAAGTATAGTAATTAGTATCCTTCGGTCACTTAAAAAGAAGATGGTGTCGCAATGCTTGTTATCCAAAAATTTTTTGGTGAATACGAAGATTCCACAAGACAAGAAAGCCAAGATGTAAGGTAAGAACCATAATAGTAAAAGATGCTTAGATTCGATGTCATTTGCAAAAGGATGGACGCAAGTGAAAACACTTGAAATTGTAATCGCTCCAAGTAATATTATTAAAGAGTAAAGAAGAAGCTTAAACGTACTAATATGTTTTTGATGAAATCCTTCAAGCAAAACAACTAAAAGTGAGC